CACATTACTAGTTAGTATTAGTAGTGAAATAAAAGAAGACAAAAGAAATAAGAGTTTAAGAAATAGTTAGCAATGAAATACTCCTATTGTTTTGGTAGTATACACTTTCTGTACGTTTGTGTGCATGAATATTACTACTAGAATACTTGATATTTATTCATTCACATACCGAACAATGTAATCTAGTTGTTCCCTGCTATTAACATTACTATTATCAATAGTAATAGTAGTGGTAACATTTATTCTTTATAATACTGTTATTAAATTAGAGTTAAAATCTCAACTGAAATATACATATATATATATATATATATGTATATATATATATTAAAATTATCTGTACATGTATGTTGTAATAGGCCAATATAAGAGTACACTATTTGTAAAGAGAAATATATACAACAGAAAATATATACATACACTCCTTTGCTTGCAAAATAAATATTCTAATAATAACAATAATAATAATAATAAACAGGCACATGAATGAATGAATAGATAAAATTGACAGTTTAAACAAAATAATGAACTAGTGTATATTGGTTTTATTTCATACACATAATGGACAGAATAATTAGAATAATTGATATTATTATCGTTAAGATTATTATTATTATTATTATTACTGATTGTGGTAGGAGCAGTATACAAGATTACATAAATTTAAAGTGTATTTTACTACAATAGTGTATTGTTATGTCATCCTATTACGTTTATAATAAAGTTGATTTTATGGATTGTATAATATTAATAATAATAATAGTAATAATAATAATGGTATATATGTATATGAGTTGATAGAAATTTTTTTTACGATGAACTTCCATGTTTATGGATATTTCTGGGTTGATTATTTTATGAAATATCATGAAGATTTATTCTTGCTATATTCTAATTAATCAACAATCATTGTCAATACCAGACTCTGCATATGAATCTATATCATTTTCTTGGTTATTATACTTTACAACTCAATGAAAACAAAAAAATTAATAATCATGAGAAATAAAAGAAGAGAATTACAATTGTCAGATGTAATGGAAACTGAAACATGAGAAGATAAACTTCAAAAGATATAAATGAGATTAAGTAGTAAAAAAGTTCAGAATAATACTTAACTTACATTTAAAGGATAATGGAGGGTGATAGAGATTAGATCACTATAATTCAATTCATATTAGATTTTATCAGTTAGTTCACGGGATATCACTTGAAAATCTTACGATAACATTGTTTTGATCGTTCATATCAGCAGTGTTTGTGTACAGAGAGAGACATTTTATGCTGTCATCAAATTCACTGAAACATAATTACTTCAATTAGAGAATGGTAGATAGAGATATGAATAGGATACATTCATTGTATACAACTCAGTGTTATTTTACTTACAAATGTACACATATTAATGGATTGTGTTTTTAATTCATTCTCAAATTTCATCTCAATCAAAGATAATTCACAGTTTAATCTGTGTTAGTATTGAATGTGTTGTCTAGTTTGTTTTTTCTGCAGATATTACGCAATTACACATAAACATATTACTCATTGTATTACTGACAAATAATTTATACTGATAAATTGGAATTCGTTTTTTTTTTCTTAAATAAAAGTAACATAATTTTCTTATTTTTCATGCACAATTTTTTATGATTGCATTCGAAATTAAACATTTGTATTCAATCTTTTGTGTATGATAACAGCTGAATTACATCGTTTATTGTTTTTATTTTTTTTTCTTTGAAATTTTACCTCAGTTTCAATAAAATACATAAATACCATTGAAATTTGATAAATTTTAATCGACAAAAAGGTTCATTTTATTTTATTTTTCTAAATCAGATTTTTCCACACATATTAACGTCTGATTCTGTGGGCAAGACCTAATCAGGCTGTAAAGCGATGGTCAGAGGAAAAAAAAGAAGCATTCCATAAACGAACGTAAGCTAACTCCTTACTCTGTCGGAACATATATTATTCCTTAATCATATCATAATGCACTACATAAAAAATGTGGGGACTTGACTATTTCATCTTCTCAATCACAAAGTCTATGTCTAGGTGTGCACGTTGAAATATATATGTCCAGTATTTCAGGTATTTATTTAATGTATACCTGCTAAACTGCCGTCAGAAACCGATATCACGTCCTCGATAGTTGTGTCATGAGTAAATCTAGAAAAGCCAATCAACCTCACCAGCTGGAAGAGTAGCAGGGTGTTTAATTTGAGAAAGATACTATGACACTACTTTATCAGACTTTTTTCTAAAGTTCTAATTAGCAATAAATTCACGTTGTATAATGTTAGTTCAATGAATATTGAATATTCACACTCTGAATAGATCTAATGCACTTTCGAACTTCTTTTCCTTAAATACCTATTTTAATCAAATAGTATAGCTGAGCTTTATGTAAATTTGTTTAGCTGAACATCCAATCTACATATGATCTATTTCTATTTGGTTTTTGAATTACATAAATAATTATTTCGTTATGCTCAGTTTTGACCATTTCACTTCAATCAGATTGAAATATTTTGTTTTCGTGTTTAGACTATCGGGAATACAGAGGATAGTTGTATGTATCCTTGAAAATATCATCGAATGGTGTTTAGTAGTATATTGATTTCAGTTATTTAAATTTGACTTAGTGTCATGATTTTCTATCATTTAAACTAGAGTTAAGATCGTCCTGAAATAATTACGAAAAACACATCACTCAGTTACAATATATTACTGAATGTGTCACTATTCTTCACCCAACCTATGTGGTACAGTCTAACTTAAAGGAATAAGTATTCCAACCAGGACTACTTAAATCATCATGATACTTTAGCCCAACCACTACATCAATGTAGAAGTTATATTTGATACAATATCAACAGTTAATTAGTCACTGAGTAGTGACCACTGTCATGGATGTCAAGTCATTCCTTGTGCTGATCGAATTCTATCGTGAACACACCTCAATTCTGTGAGAAGTCAGTCTTTGGATGGCATGGAATTGAATCTCGCGTGGAGCACGTAGTCTACTCAAGATTACATGTACACTTAATAGTCTGGTGTCTAGCAGCATGAAACCTAGATCCAGTGTCTCTTGTCAACTGCTTGCAACTATCACTTTACATCTGAGACAATATCTGTTTAGTTGATTGAATTCACTTCATATTTGGTTGACTAGAATAGCAAAAATAAGTTATTTAATTCATTGTAATCGTTACTTGTTCTAAACATTTATCATGTGATTTATTCCTGATGTGATACTTGTTTGTTTTCTTGTTTTTCCCATATAAATTATTATTACTAAACTGAATAAGGTAATATATATAAATGGTGCTTAATTCAATCAAGTCATGTGGTTGACAGATGGTTTACAATCAGTTTTTCACTGTTCTTCTATACAATAAGTGTATTGAACAAATGACGCAACAAAACATATATCTCATTTATTTATAGCTATTTTTCTATTCATAATCTAAATAAAAATAATGATAAGTATATATAACTATCATTTAAATATTCATTTTAATGCTTTGGTCTTTTAATGTAGGACAATCATAGAAAATACACTGTTGAATAAGAATAGCTATCCATGATTAATGCAGACAATTGATGTATTTTAGTAGGATTTCGTTTGTGAATACAACAAATATACACAAGATAATTTAATAAAAAAGTTACCACATCATCGGTATTAGTGTAGTATTCAACTTTTTTAACATCGTAATAAAATGGTTGACTTACGATTAGTAACTAACACGTATGATTCACAGTGGCGTTTCTTCATACGTGAATAGTTATCTCCTATTTACACACGATCAATGTAATTTACAGCCTACTGTATCATTATATACAGAAAAACATAAAAGTTTCAGTGACACTTTTTTTTAAATTTTACTCAATTTATGTGGCATGTACAAGTTTTATCGGGATCAGCTTGAAATCACACGTTTTGTGTATACATGTGTTGTTTATGCTGTTTAGTAGTGTTAATTTCATGATTTCATGAGTCGAAATAATTGATGTTAAGTTTAAACTTTAGATTATTTTATATGAAATTTAATTAAATTATACAGTTCTATAGAATGTTCCTATAGATTGTGATTTATTTATCACTGACTGAACTATCTTGAGTTGCATTACCCAGATACATATTTATAGGTCTGCAATTTTATGTTACCAGATGATAATTAAATTGGTTGCATAAATTGTTTAATTAATCGCTTTATTTCTATCTGTCCCGAACTTTTCATTGAAAAAAAAGTTTTGATTTACAATTAATCTAATTGTCATGTTTCAATAATGCTGTACAACCGAAATCGCACACATCAACTGCTTAAGCTCTCATTATCTAATTTCTTTTATGTGAAAGTCAACTTCAGAAATTATTCTTATCTTATCTAGAAAGTAATCTCAATCCTTTTTAAGGATGAATGGTTTTTATACTTTTTTTTCACATACAGGAAATTTTAAATATTGGTTGTTAAAAGAAAACAAGACATTCATTTATTCATTTATTATTGTTAAAATCACTGCAAACAAACTACTGTTTATTTGTTTGTCTATTCAATGATTAGCTGATTCTTTCAGATATGTGTCGAATATAAATTCCCGTTAATCATTTCTAGGCAGTGTACTCATCTTGAGTAATCTAGATTATCTATTTAGCTTTCTATCGAACTGTCAATAAATAGTGTTGCATAGTTTTAAATTAAAGTGAAGCAATGTTCCATGTATTTTAGAGATTTTGAATAGTAATGGTGATATTAGTCTATACTTGGGACATTCATTTATCGATTAGTTTTATGATAGTTGTTTGCGAATACAACTACTTGAATGTTATTTCTTTTTATGAGGACTCTTTAGGAATGCTCGCTTAAGAATGCCTGCCCGAGTGAAGTTGGGCATCATATCGATTCACATGAAATACATTCAACATGTTAGAATTCTTTTTAAATAATAATCATAACTCTATAGTTTAGTAATTTGTTCATTTATTTCAGGTGAACGTCCATATATATGCCGACATTGTGGTAAAGCTTTCTCACAAAATGGTACATTAAAACGACATTCACAAACATGTAAAGCTGCTTATAATAAAACTAACAATAATCTTTGTAATTCTGCCAATAATTCCAATGAGAATCGTGATGGTCATTTCGATCAAACATTCCCCATATCTAATTCTACTACTTCGTCTACTTCTACTCCTACTATTACACCTACTAATTATCAATCATCAGTAATTATGAATACCATGAATAATATCACTGATCCAGTTAATAATTTGAAACCATCGAATTTTTCCACAATATTATGTGATCCAATTGATGGATTATCGGATTCTGAAAATCAACTCAATTTATCACAGTCAATGAGTGGTAATATCCATCATTTAAGAACTTCTACTACTACTACCACTGCTACTACAACTACCACTTCACCTACTACAGTCAACACTATTCATGATACTATGACCATTGTAGAAAAGAACAAGACTAATATAAATCAACTAACGAATTCATATAATTATTCTGATCAAACTGAAAAACAATTACATGTAAGTTAATCCAATGATTGTTGATTAATTATGGTTTGTTTGAAAAGAGTAATTAATTTTATTCAATCAATAGATAAACGTGTATAGAGATAAACAGAAGTAAAGTCGTGGTTGCAATTTGAACTAGCGATAAACATAATAATAATAATAATAATAATAATAATAATAATAATAATAATAATAATTGATGTGAATTTTGCCTAGTTCAGAATAGAAAAGAAATTGATTTATTCCAGTGATGAATAATTTTCTTTAATTTGAACTAGTCAGTAATATTTTGTACAATGATGCATATATACACATCAAATTTATTGAACTAGTCCTTTTTAAGATGCTTATCGAAATGCTGTTACTTGTAATTCATTTCTTAGTGTTTTTTGTATCTAAATTTCATCGAGAGAATTTCATAATTCTCTTCGATAGATTTAAATTCTATCATACACTGATATATAATCAACAGGGTTCTTTATTTCCAGTTGATATCAACTGGTTTTTAGATGTGAAATGTCAGAAATGCATTGAACAAAGCTAAATAGAAATTATGTCAATAACTTCAAGACGAATTCTGAACATTCTAATAAAGTGTCATGGTTGATTCAGTTCAACTATCAATGAAATTTGAGATCAGTGTATTTTGGCTCAAAATGGTTGAACATTTCGGATTTCAAGTGATTGCTTGAAGTTGTGAATAGGCACAACACTGATGTGAATTGTACATTGAAAGGCAATAAAAGTTTTCAATCTTAAGTGATTTGAATGATTTTATACATATTTGGTTTTAGTTCACTTACCATAAATAAGTCATATATACAGTTGCTTTGTTTTCTTCTTGGAGTTGCTGATTATTATGATTATTTCTTTACATAAAAAAATTATGATATTTTCAGTAAATATTTAGGCATGGAATAGTGACTTAGTGACTAAGTCCGTTTATGCTTCATCATCCAATCACAAATTCAAACTTACACTGCTTCCAGTTTTAATATGAATAACTTTGTAGTAACACTAACCTTCATGTTTAAGAGTTGATCGAAAATGACTGACTCCCTGGTAGATGAGGTAATTACCCCAAATAACAAACAATCAATGAATACCTATAATCCAGTATTCATATTTTATTTTACATTTAACTACGAGATACTGATATTATTTGATTTGAATGTAAATGTAGGATTTGTTTGGTCTTTTAATGTTAATTAAATCTTATTCATCGAATTTACAATTTAACCACTAGCCTAAATGATTTTACATTGAGTTTATTCTGTGGAAATATTCAATGATTGAATATATATAGTCAACAGGAAATTTTATATGATCAAATTGTAATCCTAAGAAGTTTGATACAAATTGTAGTGATATTTTATTGAATTAAAACATTGGACAAATTTGAAGATGGTTTCATTTAAATTTCTTCTAATCATCTGTATACTATTTATAGTTTGTACATGAAAATAGTCTAAATCTACATTTAAAATCAAATATTTAATCAGTGAGTAATCTAAAATTGAAACTTACAGTAGCGCATGTTGTATTATTTAAACAAATTTAAGAAACAATATAAATTAGTCAGTTGAATGTTTGTTTTTTTTTGAGAAAAATTATTCATTCTAATGATTTGTTCATTTAATTAAACTTAATTGTCAACAATTTCAATATAACGACAATAATTGTATTGTAAGCACTTACATCCAAAACGAAAGCATGCGCAGTGAATTATTGATCTTAGGGAATAAGATAAAAATTAGTTTAGTTTTTCTCCTTATTTTTGTGAGATTAACTTTTGTAAATTGTCAATCTACATTCATTAGATAAAATGGGTGTTGGAAATAAAGAATAATTGATTTATTATGGTATCGCACCTTCGAGATTCCATAGTAATTATTGCGTACACACGATCTCATATTGGATCGAATTAAAATTCTTGTTACTTAAATACAGGACGATTGTATTCACCAAAATAAATCTGGGTGTATACTTGCTGAATCAGTTCAATCAAGTTATTTGTACAATTATCAAACAGTATGAGTGGGACAAACAATTAGATTTAATCTACATAAACAAATTAACTGATTGACTTATAACGGATTCATTGTACGTCATATTTGCTTTTAAAATGGGAGTTGGACATACAGGAAAGACAACAATAAACCCAAGTTTTTTTCCATTTTACACTTCTCCTATAATCTTCAAGGAACTGATGCTTATTTGAAAGCTACAAGTACTGTCTTCATCTAAACAGAATGATATACAGACTTTATAATAACCGATATCATAAAGTGAATCGATTAAATAGGTTAGTCATAGATTCTAGATTCTAGCTTCTTCAGCAACTCTTTTTTAAACCAAGTTTCATTTTCGTTCATCACATGGATGTCATCAATTGATTTTCAGCTTTGTATTTTTTTTCATCGTTTTTCTTTTCGTCAATAAACTATTATCTCCCTCTGAGCATTACAAAAAATATTACGAATTTTTCAAAATTATTTTTTTTCATTTGACTCATGTTTATTCAGATAGAGTAGAAAATCTCCAGGTCATCTCATAACAATGTAGTAGTAGTAGTAGTAGTAGTAGTAGTAATAAAGCTTTGTTATGTATACAAGATAAAATTATGTATTTCTCTAGGTATGTATGTATATGTTTGTCCCTGTGCTTATGGTGTGTATGCGTGTTTCGACAAAATTGATGTAATCGCTCACCCGTACCGTACATATATTATTAAGTAACTAGGAAATCGATTAGGTAACTTTATACTACCATACTTTGTTTTGATAGTATAGGTTTTGTGGTTTGAATTGAGTACTATTTGAACACATACATGCAAACAAAATGCACATATATGCATGCGTTTTTCACATCTATAGCTTAACTCAGCTTTACTTCTGTCCATCTGCTCAAACTCTCTTTTTATTCTATAATATAAATTTACGAGTTTTTTTTTCTATTCATTTTCATTCCCTACATCTGAACAATCTACCACCACAACCACCACCACTGCCCACATCAATGTTTTAGTCATTTTTATCGATGTGAAAATTTCGCTTTGTTCGTGTGACAGCCCCGTGAGGCATGAACAATATACAATATAGTAGTTAACATTTAAGTTCCGTGTACAACTCTGTCTCTCTCTCTCTCTCTCTGAAAATCATGTTTTCAAAAATCGAACTCACGTAATAACATATACCCTCTTTGTTATAATGACAGCCGCCAAGCTTATTATTAATATAATAAAAAAATTTCTGACTCACATATATTTACCATACTACTTACTTACTTACTACCTAACGTACGTAGCATGACCCCAAGGGAGAAACTGGGTAATCTAGTTCATGGGATTTGTATGCGTGTATCGAGAAGTGAAATAATAGAATGAGGTATAGAAACATTGTACAATCATGCGCAAAAATATATAATACATTATCAAACAAGAAAAAAATTCGGTCACTCTTCTATGCATTACATTTCATGTATGTGTAAATACGAAAACTATTATCAGCAAATACAACATTGCTTTCCTCTTTTTAATTCATACATATATATTTTGTCCAAAACTATATTTATGTATGTTTCTGTGTGTGTGTGCGTGTGTGCATGTGTGTGCATGTGCATGTGTGTGTTCGTGTACACGCGTGAATGAACCCATAGACATGTGTTGTAGATGGAGTATGCTGCATACAATGATTTTTCTTTTATGGCTTAAAATTCAGTGTTGTTGTTGTTGTTGTTGTTTTTTTCAAAGCTATCTCTCTTTCCTTCTTTCTTGTTTTCTTTGTAATGTTCATTGTATATCCATGTGAATGAATGATGTTTGTTACAAATTGTAAATGGTAGACTTTATTGCATATATTAAGCAAGTCTTATGCGTAATCATTGTCATCCCTCCCTATCTCACACTACCTATAGTCAGTCGATTGAGAGATAGAGAGAGAAAAAAATTCAGGCGTATAGTAGATAGTGGAAATCTATTCGAGCCTACACAACATACCCACATGTATATTTGGCAAAGAAATATATGTGATATTCATGTTTGCTCATTATTTTTATTACAATCACTATTACTATAGAGAATAGTAATAATAAATATTGTTGTTAATCATGTTTGGTTTGAGCATACATAATTCTCTATAAACTAGTACAAACGTGAAAACCAAATAAAAATGAATTGCAACTGACAACAATACATTTAAACTTACATTTTGTATGCATACACGGACATGAACAAAAATACCACGCACGAATAAGAATGTGAATTACAAGGTCGAGTTAAGGTCGTACCTTGTGACAATAATAATAATAATAATAATAATAATAATAATAATATTGATAGTAATAATTCTGTTCATACGGTATTCTACATACAATTTATGAGCATGAATGAATGAAATCATTCACGACTTACAGTCTACCTCTTTTTCTTCCTTATTACTTGAACGCTTATAACAAGATTTTGATTTTTTTTTCTAAAATGTGTTTTAATGCAGATTAACATAATGCGAAAAAATTTTAAAAATGACATTAGTGAAGAGATGAAAATTGTATAGTGAGATAAAGACAATTATGGTTTAAACCTACAATTGCTTTTTCTTCATCAAAGAAATTGGTTATATATATATATTACATTATGTAAGGTGTATGATACACACATAATTCTGTGAAAAATGCTAATACGAGATGTTAATGAAACTCTGCTAGGATGCTTTGCCAGTTGACACTAGGGATTGGCCCTGAAATCCAGGAAGCAGTAGATGTCTGTTTCGTCATTGTATGGCACTCCTTAGTGGTGCCTATCTCAAACACCCTCACTAAGCATTGAATATAAAACCTTCAGTCCCTTATTGTTCACAGTTTGAAATCTCCATAAACCGACATAATAGCTGACCATGCAGGTCGATAACAGAGAGTTTTATGTTTTGGCGCTGTTGAATGTCAGCTAGTTATTGGGTCATATAGAAAGTCGTTAGGAGAGAGAAAGATGGGTGTGAAAGATTAGCAAGAATCAG